AGGAAACCATGTCAGAATGACACGGATTTCTCAATAAAACTTCGGAAGCCAAAAGAGCCTGGAACAATGTAGTCCAAATCCTAAAAGATATAAGACCCAACATAAAACAATAAACCCGGAAGAACTATTTGTCATGTTTGAAGGATACAATATTGTTGAAATATAAGGAAGAGTGCTGATGCAGCTCACTGGGTAAAGACACTGGCTCCACTCTCCTGACCACAATAGTTTGAGTCCCAGAATCCATGTAAAGGTGGAAGGAAAGACTAATTCCAAAAAGTTGTCCTCTGACCTCTACACAGTTATCTTTCCATTAGTGTTACTCCTACAACATTAATACTAATACATTTTAGATATGTAGAGAGGCATTTAAACTGCATTAATTTGAAAGAATTAGAATAAACCAAGAGAAACCACCATATGTCTACCAAATGGCTAAAATATCAAGGATATACAGAAAATACTTTTTTTTGGAACAACCAGGGTGCTCAGGTACTGTTCAAATATTGTATGTTATTAGGTTTAACTATTTGGAGAACATTGTAACATCTACTATTAAGTATGAGCATACATGCCAATCCGTATACATTTCCACTTCTGTCTGCCAACAGAAAATAATGCATACATTCCTTAAAATAAGATACCTAACATGAAGCTGGAAAGATGGCTCAGAGCTTAAGAGTACCTATAGCTCTTCTAGATGATCTGACTTTGACTTTGTGAAGAGTCATGGACCAGTCCTTTCAGCCTAAGATAGAGGCAAGAGCTAGTGGCCAGCTGCTTTGCTTTTCTGATATTAGTTTGAAGCTTGAACCCCAATATCAGTGTCCAGGTGATATATTTATTCATCTTACAAACCAGTACCACACATAAGCAGTTAACACATCTCCTATAGGTCTATTCTGTTCCACTGGACATCACATCTTCGGTGTTTACCCAGGATATACTACATGCCAGATTTCACTTGAATAATATTGCATCATATGTGTAGACTAGAGCTGCTAATACATTCATGCATAGACAGGCATATGGATTTTTCCCAGTTTTTATCTTTATATATTGACATTGTTATATGCATGGTTGTGTATACCTGTTTGAGTTATTGCCTTAAATTACTCCAGTTATTGTTGTGTGATACTGTGTTTGTGTTCTGAAGAATAAACCTCCCCGGAGATCAGAGGGTGGAGCTAGCTGTAGAAGCTGGGTGGTGGTGACACATGCCTTTAATCCCAGCCCTTGAGAGGTAGAGACAGGAATTTATTAAGGTGCAGTGTAGACAGGATCTCAGCCCTTTTGGACTGAGGAACAAAACAGGAAGTAACTGGTGGCTGCTCCTGGTTTTCATTGATTAAGGCTAATAGTATCATGCTTCAAGTTATATATCTAACCTTTGTGCTGGAGATGGGGTAAGCACTCTCCACTGAGCTATCCCAAAGTGAGTGAGGATTTTAAGCGATGCTAATGGCTTGGATTAAAAACTGAAAAGAAAAATTAGTATCTGGTCTTCCCTCCCACTCTCTGTAATTGGAATGACTGATTACGTGTTGCCAGTGGAAATCAATATGGCTAATCACTTTGTGACAAGTGTGTCAGCCTTAAACCACAGCGAATGCTGGTCATGCTGGATTAGTTTTTATTTTCTGTGACTTTCTAACACAAGCCAAGAATTGTTTGAATATGACTTGGACGACTCCATTCCCATGTGAAATGCTGTCTCATGATCTCTTCAGCAGGCTGGATTATTGCTCAACACATGTGCAAATGGGTGGGACTGTCATGCCCAAGGACATCATTCACAAAAGGACAAGTGTGCTTGGGTCTGGCTGGCCGGGTTTCAGAGCAGACTCAGCCTCTCTAAAACCCAGTCTCTCCCAAGACATAGGACCCTAAGACGATAGACACCTGAATAAAATTAGACAAGTGAAACAGGTAAAAGCCAAATGCACCCTCTAAACTATCCCATGGTGGCAAGTAAATTAAAGACGCCATTACCTCTACTTTAGATGGTAGTGTTCTTCTACTCATTGTAGTAGAAACCTACAGTAAAATCACGTTAGATGTTATGTCCATGCAGAATTAACTGCTGCTTCTCCCTTTCTCCTTCTTTCATTTTGTCTCATTATTTAGATTGTCTTCTTTTTTTGGTAAGGAGGGTAGGAAGCTAGTTCTGTGTATTTAGCACGCAGTAGGAAAATAGAACACTTCTTAAGCATGCACACCTAGCAAGCCTGTTAGCATATTACATGCTCCAATGGAAAGCAGACACAGGACTACCATATTTTCCACTGCATCCTGGGCAATTCATTCCATCAGTTGTCTGACTGTGTTATCTTCTTCACACAGCATATTTTGAAGTATCAGCTCGAGTCCACACTGCGTACTCTGAGGCAGTACAGCTTTCTTTCTTGATGTTTCAAAGCGCCATCTCACACTGTCAGTTCTATTTTGTGTGACATTTTTTCCTCTCTTGTCCTTTAACTGGCAGAATCTTTTGAAAGGTATAGTTTTCAGTATTTTGAGTTTTATGGCAGGTTGAAAATAATAACTTTTATTCATAGTCGATGAAATCCGGCATTACTCTAATATGCGCCAGCAAGTGGCTTAAAAGCCTCTATCATAATCCTGGGAGATTTCTCAGTTTAAAACTATCTTTTTTTCCCCCTCAAACCTCCCAGGAGAGCAGGCACCAATTCAGTGTTACTTTTAAGCAATATTTTCCCACCACATGCATGAATTGAGAACTTCTTTAACTCAAGTCTACTTGGCTAATATGGGAAATAGACGATTCCTCGATTCCAGGCTGAGAGCGGCAGCCCTGTCGGCCAATAAAGGCTCTCCCATTGGCTCATCAGTCCTTCTGCCTATCACTGTTCCTCTGACTTTTGCATTCACTTGCTGTCCCGCACTAGAGCGTCCCATACACGCTCCGGTCTGATCTATCTACCCTTCTGCACCAGTGTTATCTGTTGTGTCCTCCCTGAAATAAGCCAGTGTTCTCTCAGTAATTGAAATGGTTCCTTCCTTTAGGTCCTCAGAGCAGTGTGTTCTCCTAACTGGATGACTTCGTCAGGTCTGTCCATCCCTACACTCTGTCCAGTCATCCCATTCCTGGGTTTCTGATCATTGCAGGGGCACGTCTCACCACCAAACCCCGGTTTCCATGAAGCACTTGGTCTCTAATCAATGTTTCCCACACACATTCTAATGTCACCCTTCTCTAGACCCCACCCCTCACCCCCAGAACTCACAGGCAATGGATTGTTTGCTCTCTCCCCTTAGTATTGCTTTTACACATGATTGTTGGCTTGGCTGAAATTCCTTTTTGTAACTGAAGGTGTTTGATGGGTGCTGAAAGCAGATGGAAGCATAAAACTAATCAAGGAGGTCCTGCTCATGGGAAAGAAAGACAACTTCTAATGGGCAGAGTGCAGGGATGCCAAAGCTGAGCTTGCCAAGGATCAAAATGAGTCTATATATTTATACGTTATATATGTTAAAATGGTTGTTAAGGTGATCGCAGAAAAACAACTCTAACTGATAATCTACAGTGAACTAAGAATCTAATTCTTACCCTAGTAAGAGAAAAAAGGCATTAAAAATTCTATTGTGCAGTAACAACACAACTGAAAGTATTTGAGAGCACTTAACAACATCTCTAGATACGTTTGTGGATATTAGAGAAAAACTGAAAGCTTCAATGTGAGCATTTTGTGAATTATAGAAGTAGTTTGCCATTTTTTTTCTGAACATGGAAGGGATTTTTAAAAAAAAAGAAAACCTTAGTAAAGTACCAAATTAGCAGTGTTCATGACTATTATCTTTTGCTAATTTAGGCATCACTTGAAATTTGAAAAGTTACTGTAAGAAAGCAATAGTTTTCATTATAAGTTGATGGTTTCCATATCTGTCACTAGAAATTTCATTCTGTGGAGTAATTTTGAAGTGATCCCAAGAGAGGCATGAAAACCCATTGAGAGGGCTGTTGAGATGACTTAGCAGGTAAAGGTTCTTGCAGTTCAAACCTGGCAACCTGAGTTCAAGCTCCCAAGCCCAGATAAAGGAGGAAGGGAAGAAATGACTCCAGAAATATGACCTCTGATTTTCCTGAATATGATGTAACCCCCCCTCCACCACAGCATCAAGTACATGATAAACAACAATAAACAAACAAATAAAATTAAATATATAGTGGGGAAAATACTGTAAAGTTTTATGTGGAATATTGTAAGTAATTTGACTCCATTTTTTATTAAAAATAAACACGCTAAGTTGCTTCATGTTCACCTCATATAAATAGACTGTGTTGAGTTTGGGTAATTAAATCTATATGTTTATATCCTGTTTGAATGCGAAATGTTCCCCACAGGTTTATGTGTTTGAAGATTTGGTTCCCAGAGGGAGGTGCCTTTTGGGGAGGTTACGGAACCTTTTGGAGGTAGAGACTTCCTGGAGGAAGCATGTAACTGGGATTGGCTTTGAGGTGTTATAACTTGGTCCCATTTCCTGTCTACTCAATGGTTCTGAACTGCTGATGCAATGTGTTGGTGGACCTTTTGTTCCTGCTGCCAAGACTTCCCCATCATGGTGGGTTTATCTTCCCTGGGACTGATATCTAAAATAACACATTCTCCTTATATGGCTTTCATCAGGTTGCACAACAGAAATAACACTAATGCAATCTCTAGTTTAAGAATTTTGAGGTTTTATCTGGACAGTGGTGGCACAAGCCTTTAATCCTAGCACTCTGGAAACAGAGACAGGTGGATCTCTCTGAGTTTAAGGTCAGTTTGGTCTACAGAACTAGCTCAAGTACTGCAGCTACACAAAGAAACCTGTCTCAATAACGAAATAGAACAAAACCCCAACAAACAAACAAGAATTTTGTGTTTTTAACCTGTGTATCAGTGCCATTAACACAAATGATGAGGTTGTAGCTTATCTGCAAAACTCACAGTTCTTTGCTTTCAATGTGGTTTAATATCAGGTTTCTTTTCTCATACCTTCACTCTGAGCACAGACGCAAACATCCTTGCATCTTCAGACACACCACCAATGTAGAATTTCTTTTGAAACACTGGGGGGTGATCATTTTCATCCTGAATCTCAATGTACACTTTAGCTGTATTGCCTGGAAAAAAGATAAATCTTTGTTGGTGATTTTTCATTAGAATAAAATTACTAGAGTAATACTTACCATATTTTTAAATAAAGGCATGCATGTAATTTGTTAGAAGGCCATTCCCATGTAATGCTTAATTCTAGATCAAGAGAAGATGGATAAGAATGTTACTGGTAATATTAAAATTTTACTTAATTTTATTTTTGAGGGGCTAGACATTGAATCTAGGGCTAATTGGTGCTAAGAAAATGTTCTTTGAAGATGCCACCATTTGAATTGAAATGCCATAGTAATTTACTTTCCATTTTAAATTATTTTCCTTTTCGAAGAAGTAATAAATGTGCTGTCTAAATATTTCCTTTATGGTGTTACTGGACACTGGCTTACTGAAATTTAGTTGGCACTGTATTCATGCTACATAGTTCCATATGGTGTCTATATTTGATTAAGTAATATCTGGAGAATTAAAATTTTCACTTGTGCATTTATTAACACAATGCATATTCATACATAAATAATAAGTTTGAGATAAAATCCTTTCTTGTTCCTATTGAATATCTTTCGGTTCAGTGGCCTGGAACCAGCTCATGAGGGCTTTGAGGTAAGATGGCTTCTGAACAACTCAAAACACAAGCGATACTTGAAGATGAAGGGACAGATGATGCTATGGGTTGGGTGTGATTGTCTCCTAAGGTTTCTCATGTTGGAGATTTGGTTCCCTTTGGGGCTGCATGCTATGGGCAGGAGGGGTACCCACGATGGTAGTGTCATATTATAATGTCAGAAGGTTAGGTATCCCTGTGCTTCCAGGACCTGGGAGAGGCAGAAAGGAGCAAAGCTGAGTCTCCTCCCTCTCCTTTTTATTCTCATTTCCTAATTTACCCATGACATTTTGATTTGTTTTCAATTTGTTACAAGAGGAAAGATTGTTAGAATTCAAGACCTGTTAACCATTTTTTAAAAAATAATTTTTATTTATTTATTTTTTTTGGTTTTTGGAGGCTGTCGGTCCAGCCTGGCCTCGAACTCACAGAGATCCGCCTGCCTCTGCCTCCTGAGTGCTGCGATTAAAGGCGTGCGCCACCAACGACCGGCTAATATTTGTTTTAATGCTTTGAAATTTTATACACATATAAAATGCATTTTGGTCAGATTATCTGACAACTGCTGACAAAAACTCTAAATAATTTAAAACTGCAGGAAGCTACTGAATTTCACTGGCATTTGTGCGTGCGTGCATGCACGTCTGTCTGTCTGTCTGTCTGTCTGTCTGTCTGTCTGTCTGTCTGCCTGCCTGCCTGCCTGCTTGTCTGTCTGTCTGTCTCTGAAAGTAAGTCCAGATGCTCAGCTCCCACACAGCTGCTGGATGAAAGTATCAGACAACGAACAGCAATATTTAGAACTCGGCAGTTGGTGTTGGTTCCCTTTCTTCTCATAAACCCTCCAGCACACACCAGGAATTATAATCATAGCTATAATTCAGGGTTGAAAGTATAAATTACATGTGGATTTTCCCAAAAGCTTACAAACACTTTATTATAATTTATGTGCATCTTGGTCTGTCTGCATATATATATATATATATATATATATATATATATATATATATATATATATATATATGTGCTTGTGGGTCCCTGTGTACACTGGAAGAGAAGTGTTCTTTAGCCATCAAGCCATCACTCAAGAATTAAAATAAAAAAACAAAACGAAAAACTATGGTAGTGTTCCTATTAATTCTTAAAAGAGGCTCAAGGTTGTTACATGTACCTAACTTTTATACTATATTTTCAGGTATAAAACTAAGCTTTAAATACTGCTTCAAGGATCCATCAGCCTTAACAATTCAATTCATAGTAATGGGAAAACTGATGGGTTTTAACTTATGAGGGGAATTTAAATTGTGGCATTTTAGGATTTCTGTGTTAAAACTCACTTTAGATTAAGTTCATCTTTGTCTTAGTTAGGTTTCTATTGCTATGATAAATCACCATGACCAAAAGTACCTTGGGGAGGAAAGGGTTTAATTGGCATATGCTTCCATATGACTGCCCACCACTGAGGAAAGTCAGGATGGGAAGGAACAAAGCAGGGCAAGAACCTGCAGGCAGGAACTGAAGCAGAGTCCATGGAGAATCACTACTTACTGGCTTGCCCCTCACGGTTTCCTCAGCCTGTGTTTTTATATACCCCAGGACCCCGTGCACAGGGCTGGTACCGTGCTTTCTTATATACCCCAGGACCACCAGCCCAGGGATGGTACCATGCTTTCATATATAATCACAGGACCACCAGCCCAGGGATGGTACCATGCTTTCATATATAATCACAGGACCACCACACATGGGTGGTACCATGCTCAGTATGCCGGCATCTTCCTTATGAATAATTGATCAAAAATGGTTTATACACTTGCCTGCAGCCTAATATTATGGAGCATGTTTTCAGTCAAGAGTCCTCTTTTCCAGGAACATCTATGTTTGTGTCAAGTCGATATAAAGCCCAACCAGCACATATTACACCTTGTCAATTTGACAAACAAACATAATAAATGAACACTGTTAAGCCATAAGCTTTCATTTCTGGTAGTCCTCTAGATGTCATGTTAATACAAATATGACAATAAAAAACATTTCAACATGTCAAGGTTCCACTCTTTAAAAATTTAAACATTTTAAAAGCTCAGTCTCAAATATTCAAAGTCTCTATCTAACATTGTTAGTACCTCAAAAATTCTAAGACTCTCTAAAATTCTAAAACATCTTCATTGCAGTATTCTGTAAAAAAAAGTAAGTTACATACTTTAAAAAATTTTCTAACCCCAAGAGGGAAAACTAGGGCACCATCAATCAAAATAAAGCAAAACTGAACTCCAGAGGTGTAAATAACTTGACGTCCAATGTCTGGGCTCCAGAAGAAAGTTACCTCATGCTGTTGAGTTTCTGTTGGCTGATTTTTTTGTTTTATTAGCTCTTTTCTTTTTAAAATGCCATCTCTGGAGTCCATGGAGAATAAAAATCAACAGAAGACATTTGTTTATTTGTCTTAATTCCATTCACTTAAATTCTCATAAGCTGGAACATTTTTAACTTTTCTGTGTGGATATTAATAATCACTCTCATGCTCTGGAAAAACAGCTAAGTCAGTAGGGTTTATGGTAGTTTCCTAGGTCAGGGTGAAATCAGAACAACCACTTTGGTATTCAAAGACAGTGGAGAGTTACAGGGTATTGGTTATAGGAGTTGCTCAATTTTCTAACAGATAACTAAAGATGACATTGCCCTCACTGCATGGGAGGTACTGCTCTGTTTGGTGTCTGAAGCCTGAGGAACAGCCCTGAAGGCCTTTCCTTGGGCAAAACCAGATCCTTAACCTTGCCAGAGAAAGGAATGCAGAAGATGTTATAGAGGGGAGAAGTTGTTGCTTCACTGAGAGAAGTAATAATACAGCTTTTAGATGTAAGTGTGGGTTATTTAGAAGAGGAGGGAGGGATGTTTAAATGTCTTTGCAGTGTGTTTATGTGCATGAGTACGTTTCTAAACTTTTTGAAATTGCACTGATCAAAGGATGTAATTAACCAGTTTCAATGGTTAATAAAAGCTTACAAATACATACAAAAACATAAGGGCACTGACTTGTTTCTCTTAAAGAATTTCATTGTTGTAAACATCGTATGTTCCGATTTTGGGCTGAGAGAAGAGTCTTAATATAGATAAACTCAAACATCATGGATATTTTGCTCCCAAGCAAGTATTACTCATTTATTGTTTTGCATCCTTGTTCAATTCTTAGGAAAGTGGACAATTTTTCCCTAGCCAGTCTTCATTGACTTTGCCAGCTGTATTCAGTTCTGGGTTCTCAGACAGTGGGGCGTACAACCAGACTCAGAATAAGAAGCCATTTTCCTGGTCCAGCATTTTCCTTCTATCTATCCATCTCAAAATAACTCAGCAGACTCTGTTGTCTTCTTCCTTATGATCCTTTCCCTTCTTTCTTTTTATTCCTTAGATGAAAACCAGAGATTTATGTACTGGAGACATCACGCCTCATTTATCTAGTTTGGGTCCTGTGTGTACCTGGTGTCTAAGGGGTGGTGGTCGCCATCCACCTAGAAAGAATTTGATAAGGAATTCACAAAGAACATGCAATGTGTCTGATAGAAGAATATAAAGTGGATGTTGGTCAATAGTGAAAGATCAAAGTGTTCCCCTGCATGTGGAATCACCAGGATGCCTTCATTTGGATGCTTTTACTTGTGGGCACACAGCATGCATTGTGCCTTGATTTCCATACCTCACCTATGTTGGTGGTAAGAACTGTGCTTTTTTGTTTTTTCCAGCCAACTCTGAGGTTTAAGGCAGAAACTTGGAAGTAACTCTGATTTAAGTCAAGTTGCTTTAAATTTCCTTGAACGTTTGCAAAAATCCCTTTCTTCCCTATGTTGTATCATTTATGCAAGACAGATTTCAATCACATAATGAATAAAGATAAAATAAAATGAGAGAAGTGTTGATAAAATGGATCAGAGATTCATAGAAAGGCCTGATATTCTGTAGTCTCAAGCCAGTGTGATAGTCACAGTGACTTATGGAGCTGAAAAGGTGGTCAGGGTTAGCTCACACAGGCTACCCCTACAGAGTATTTGGAAGTATACTACTAGGTAGGATAAGATGAGAAAGTCACTGATCCTTAGTGCTCAGCATTTCTCTGTGGGTTTATACTCTGCTGTGTCTTCCGTGGTATTTGTTTTCAGTAGCCAGACAGCAAAAAAAAAGGCTGAATATTTCAAAGTTTATTTTAATAGTTTTCTAATTTGGCTTTGATGTTGATTTAATTAACCTTTGCGTGATTTTAATTGCTTGTATCTAAAACATGCATTTTATGTATGTGTTTGACTGAAAGGTTAATCACCGAGTTAAGGGAAGAAACATACACTACTACTTGCCTGTGACATAGACATTCAGATTACTAGAATATATAGTATTGTATTTTAAACAGGTTTCCTGAGA